GAATATATATATATATATATATATATATATATATATTTGAAATCTTTTGAGAATTAGCATAAAATATTGACGTGGAATGTAAGTTAATTTCATTGAATATCTTGTTTAGGCTGTTCCTAAGAATTTTGCAGCAGCTTCATCTAAGATCCAATATAATTCTCCATTGTGTGGTTGTACACGAGCAGCTGGCAAATTTTCTTTGTCTTGCAAAATTCGCTGTGAGATATTAAATATTTAAAGTAAAATAATAGCTTTCATACAAATTAAATTATTTTTCTTAATTTTTAATAAAATAATTACCTTAATAATTTCTGCTTTGCTAGATCCGGTAACAGCAAATATGCATTTTTTTGCATTATTTATCACAGGAAGAGTAAGAGTAATACGAGATGGTGGTGGCTTAGGAGAATCATTTATAGGACAGACCCATAAACTGGCTTCATTCAAAAGTTTATGACCAGGAAAAAGAGAACATATATGTCCATCTGGACCCAATCCCAAAAGAAGTACATCAAAACATGGAACACGATCAGGAGGGAAAAAAACGGACATCTTCTTAATATAATCTTTTGCAGCATCTTCAGCTATAAGTATAATTAAACAAATGATATTTTATAAAAAAAAATCAAAAATTGAATTTTTGATTGAAACATATTTTACCAGATAGATCAGGATTAATTTTTATAAATTGATCTTCAGTTATTGGTATTTTTCCAATCAAGTTTGATTTATATTCTCCATAAGTGGAATCATTGCTATCAAAAGGAACAACTCTTTCATCACAAAAAAAAAGTTCCATCTACTCCAATCAGTTTTAATATTAGGTAAACTTTGAGCCAATAATAATATTAAAGATCCTCCTGATAAAAAAAACATTTTATATTTTTAAATTGGCATTTTAATATAAAAAATAATTTATAATTTAAAAATTACAAAATAAATATAAAATTTAAATAATAATAATGCAAATTAAATAATTATATTAAAAAAATAATATACGTTAACCTATAATAATTTTTTACAGCATATGTAACCTATAAATTTATTTTATTATTTATTATTTTTATTATTATTAGCTTTTGTTATATTATATAAATATGTCTATATAAAAATATATATTTAATCATACTAATAATTTTTTTGATATTTAAAAATTAATAAATCAAGTAATTTTTATTTGAATTATATCACCTGATAATCCAACCTTGAACGTATCACTATTTGCAAATGCTTGTTCAGCACTCGTTTGGAGAAGGTTAGACAAACATGACACCACAGATCCATCTCGGGGTTCAACTAGTATTTTCTCCATCATTTGTAAGCAATTTTTAAATAGTATTTATAAATTTGTAACCTTAAATAAACGAAGAATTGTATATGAACAACGGAACTCGTGTTGAATATAAAGATACAAGGTGGTATTAGTTATATAGCATCGATTAACAGTAATCAGAATACAGCATTGGACATTCACGATAGCACGTGATAAATTTGTGATTTGCGATATTGAACTTTATTAAGATTGTATTGCGATCTTTTTTTATTGATAATCATTATAAATGAATTTTTTATAATGAAATCACGTAGTATATTCTTTATTGTAAAAAGTTATAATTTATAAGTGATATTTAAATACTTTATGAATAGAATTTATATTTAAATACACACAATAGCGGCAATTTAAATTTCCAATCTATATTTTCTAATATCTTAAAAATTGAAACTATATCATTTATACTATGTAAATTCTAATATAATAAATTTATGTAAAAAGCGAAATGCATTTATTTATCAATTCAAATCCAAAATTTTATGAAATGAATAATGTTTATAAAGTAATTTTTATAAAAATTTTAGGTTATAAAATTTTCAGTGATAACTGGAATGTTTAATTCAGTGAAATATTATAATCAAATCAAGATGCACCATATTATATATTTAACGAATATAGAAGTGCTTTAGCTGATTCTTAATCAATTTTTTGAAGATACTACATAACAATCATGTCATTTTGTATGCGACTTGCTCGCAGTAAACCCATCCGTTTATTAGGAGGCATAGCTATGAAATGTTGGGCTTTCTCTGGAACTTATATACTTGCCTGTTTTCTTCTATATTGGTTGTATGGTGGATTTTCTGCTTTCTTCCTACTTTGCTTTGCAACTACAGGTAAATTTAATAATTTCAGTAGTTTTTGCTCTAATATAAAATTGATATCACAATACATATTTATAGGTATATTATATCATAGAGAAGATCAACTTGTATATCGTCCAGAGTCACCTGCTAATTCTCGGGTTTATGTTCCTGCACCTTCAATATTTAATTTACCTTATCAAAGTATTTATACTAGATCAAGAGATGGTACAATGTTACACATGTTCTTTATTTCTCAACCAGAAGATAAAATGAAAAAGGTGCCTACTTTATTATTTCTTCATGGCAATGCTGGTAATGTAGGACATAGGTAAGTGATTTTTTAAATTAATTCTATTATACAGTTTTATATATAAAAATAAAATAATGATTCTATAATTATTTTAGATTAAAAAATGCAGTTGGACTATATCATACTATACAATGTAATATTTTAATGCTAGAATATAGAGGCTATGGTTTATCACAAGGTTCACCATCCGAAGAAGGTTTATATATGGATGCTCGTGCAGGAATTGATTATTTATCAAGTAGAACTGATATAAATACAAACGAAATAATTGTATTTGGTAGATCATTAGGTAGCTATATTTGAAATGCATTATTTCTAATAAAAAATGTATATCATATATTATATAACATGTTTAAATATTATTATAGGTGGAGCTGTAGCTATTAACTTAGCTACAGAACCAGAAAATTCACAAAAAATTTGGTGTCTTATTCTTGAGAATACTTTTACTAGTATTCCTAATATGGCTGCATTACTTTTCGGATTAAAATGTTTACAATACTTACCCCTTTTTTATATAAAAATAAGGTAAATTAGTTTTTCTAAATGTTTAATTATTTTATATAAAAAATTTTAATTAAATGAATAATAATTATTACATTAAATTATATAATTAAATCAATATATTACAGTATTTATCCATTCTCAAAGTGCGATCAGTAACAGTACCTACACTATTTATTTCTGGTCTGGCGGATACGTTAGTACCACCATATATGATGCAAGACCTTTATAAAAATTGCAAAAGTCCATGTAAAAAAATACTTTCAATTTCGGGAGGTACACACAACGAAACATGGTGTCAACCGCGATATTACAAAAATATATGTAATTTTTTAAATGAATTGAGAGAAAATCCTCCGATTCCAGTGACATCTAGTCATTGGCAAATAGATGATATATAATTACAAATTATTACGTCCAAAGCGATAACTATATTTTGAAGATTTCAATATTAGGTTAACAGAATAAAAAAATAGATTATATTTAAATACATTATAAATTTTTATTACATACGATTAATCAATTTAATTATAAACATAATTTAGCTTATAATTGATGAAGATCAATCTTTTACATTAAAATATTTTATTAAAATGTATATTAAAATAAGTGATATTACAAGTGTACAGTGTTTGAAATCATCAAAATATTACGATTTAAATTTAATCAAGTATCTGTCCTGCAATTAAAATTTACAAATAATTAAATAAAATCTTAAATCCTTCCAATATTTAAGGCATTTTGCCAAGTAAATATAATTAGAAGAACAATAATCTTAATTAATTATTTTTATTGAAAATAAACTGTTTTTGTATTAAAAATATATTATACATAATTATACAAATATTTATGTATTTACATATATGAATTATGAATATATGTATATTTATTATTTATTTTAATATTTTGATGTTCATAATAAATATAGGATTATATACTACCATCATGCGCGCTCACACACACAGAAAAAGAGGGATATATATCTGTATATTGTATAGAAATAACATTTTATTTATTTATATTTTTTCAATAATAATGATATTAAATTTGAATAAAAACAAAATTGCATATATGATAATAGCTTATATGATAAGTATGTATATAATGATATATAAAATTATAAAATTTTTTTTAGACATTGAATTTAATCGATTTTTTATTATTTATGCATTTATTGATATTTTGTAATTAATAAAATATTTAATATTTAAACAAATAATGATTCTTAAATTTGTTATTAATTTAAAATAATAAAAAATAATATATGATTCACTATTAAATTGAAAAAAAATATTATTTATTATTACATAAATTTTAATAAACAAAACTCTTATAAAATATATTGAGACTTTAAAAAATTGAAAAAATTTTTTAAATTAAAGAAAATGTGTAGAAATTACACAAGAAAAAAATAAATTGAAAAAAAATGATAAATTTTAAAATTTTCTATTGACTCTTCTTCTTTTTACGGCTATTCTTTGTGTCCATATGATGCCTGCCAGTATTAAAATTGTTAATACAGTTGTCGCTATTCCTACAACAACTAATAAACCAGGACTAGAATCAAGTTTTATTATTTCAGTGGTCATTATACTTGCAACATTTATTGAAAAATTTTCATTAAAAATTGATGTATTACAAAAAATTTGATTTTTCCATCCGTACCAATGTACCATTCTCATATTGGATATTTGAGTAGGCCAAGAACACCTTGTACAATATAACAAAATATATAAAATAATTAATATATTACATTTTTGCATTTTTGATACTAAATGATTTATATAAAAATTAAAAAATATATACCTCAAATCATCTAAAAGATGAGGCCGAACAATATAAAGTTTTGGAACTAAATCATTTAACATCCACTGTAATGTACAATTACATTTAAACGGATTTCCTTGTAAATTAATATTGTACGTTGAAAGACTATTATTATGTATAATTAATTTTCGTGTTATATAGGAAAATTGATTGTTACTTAAATCTAACTAATACAAAAAATTATATATGTATATTATTAAATTATAGTATTTTAATAATAATATATTCATAAAATAATTTTGAAAGATCGATTCTAAAAACTATATAAAAATTGGTATATAAAAATATAGATTAAATTTTATTTATTAAGTTGTAAATAATTAAATAAGTTGTAATAAAAGAATCGTGTAAAACAGAAATAACAAAACGATAATATGATTTATTATAAATAAATCTTAATGAATATTTCTCGATATTTCTTTTTTTTAACTCTAAACTCGTTTTTAAAATCGATCTTCTGAAAATATTCGAACATAAGATTTTAGAACTTACTGAACATAAATTCATATGTTTCAAAGCATCTTCATGAATAAAAGTCAACATTTTGTTATTGGATATAGTAATATTAATACAATTTTTTGATAGTGATTTTAAATTTGCCAATGTGTCTTTCTCTATAGATTTCAACATATTTATATTACTTGCATCGAATGAATTTAATTTTAAATCAGATGAAATTGTTAAGTTTTGAATAGGATTTTTATTAACTTTAAGCTGAAGCAATAATGGAAAATTTTTAATAGATATTACTTCAGGAATATAAGTAAATTTATTGTTAGATATATCCAAAATTTTCAAATTTTTAAACAGAATATTTGGAAAACTTGATAATATATTTCCACTAATATTCATATGTTGTAAATTATCTACTGTTAAATTGCTATATAATTGAGAAATTTTATTATGTTCTATACTTAGTATTTCGATATGAGTTAAATTATTTATTTCCATAATTTGATTATAACCAATATATAATTTAACCAATGTTTTCGGTAATATTTGCATATTTAATGTAACAAGAAAATTATTATTTACATGAAGTATTTTCAAAGAATTTAGATGTATTAAATTACAATCTTGTAAAGATTGAATTTTATTAAATGACAGATCTAAATATTGTAAATTTATTAACAATTCAGAGAATTTTTTCGGTAAACTAGAAATATTATTATGAGAAAGATCAAGTATATTAATCTTTAATATAGTTTGATTCATCGCGTGTTCTATCGAATTAATATGATTATAACTCAAATTTAACGACATCATTGTAGGAAGTATTTTCAGTAAGGAGTTGTCAAAAGTTTTTAATACATTCTTAGAAAGATTTAAATTTTCAAGATTATTTAAGTCTATAAACATTGTTATATATATTTTTTCTATATTATTTTCAGATAAATCCAAATTTTTTAAACATTTTAATTTTTTCAAAAAATTTTTAGGTAAATCAACTATATTATTTTTTGATAAAATAAGTTTGTTCAATTCTTGATAATTATTTAGTAATAAACCAAAATTAAGCATATCATTATTTCTCAAATATTTTCCATGACAATTAATTTCTAATTCTTCATTTACTGTAATATATAAAAATATATAATATTAATATTTAATATTTATTATATATATTAATATTTAATATTTAAATGAAAAAAATAATTATTCAATTTAACTTTATTCATAAAAAATTAAAAAATATATAGTTATCTTCTAAAGTTTCTATTAAAATGAAAGAATTTTACTTACCTGAACATGAACATATTGAACATATATTACATATAGAATTTTGTATTATCCACAAAAAACAAAATCCAATTAAATATAAATAAATCATTATATTAAATTTATATTAATTTTGATTTTCAATTGTATGTAATTAAGGTGTAGCCTACATTTAGCAACATGATGCTTTTGATAACATTATGACATATTTATGATAACATATCTGATAATTGTATATAATATCTATTTTATCTAGACTTGGAATTAAGATAATTACAATTTCAAAATAAAAAAAATAT